ATTCCGATTGATCAGTAGTGGAGAGAAACTAGGACTTTAAGGCAACTTCACCTTACCCCCAAGGGTAAGCTAGGATGTTCCACTGCTTTGCTCAATCTAATAGCATGAGACTATAAAAATGACTCTACAGCCCGAGATGCCTATATGGGATCAGTCTCTAAGTCAGTCCAAGGAAAAGTATATCGAGGCATATATAAATGTCTTGAGGATGCAGTACTCCCAATGGGTTAAGGAGATTGTACGATGTACGGTTACAAGAGAGATTTCTTTTGGTTGACTTGATATGCTTCAGAGTTGGTTACAACTGAGTCCTTGAGTTGCAGGAGGTCTCTCGAGAGGCTTCGTATAGGTAGGGGTGTTCAAATTTTTGAACTAATTCGGTTAACCGACCGAACCGAATTAGTTCGGTTAATTCGGTCGACCACCGAATTAGTTCGGTCGGTTAACGGTTAATGTTTTTTTAGATATTCGTTAAACGGTTAATTCAGTTCGAAATCGGTTAATTAACCGAATTAACTAAATTAGCCTTTAAATATTTTTTAATATTTTTTCACCATGCTGCCCCCCTTAAATATTTTCTTTCCCTTAAATATTGTTTCACACGTAGGTATAGCATGGGTGAGGCAACACTGCTAGTGTAAATTATTATCATTTCTCTTGTTCTTGGTTTCAGCTTTGCTTTTATCAACTTCGATGGCAGCCTGGCAGGTGGGTTCTTTTATGTCTTTTTGCTGTAACTTTTTAGTTTATGGTGCATGTCATGCACGCTATGTCGATCAAAATGTTGAAATTACTTTTTAAAGTAAAATTTTTATATGTATATAAAGCTACTGGTGAGACAAGATTCAACCTTGAGTTTTTAACATGCTTTTCTGCATAAAATAATGGGGTTTGAAGATGGCGGATGAAGTATTTTGCATGTTTAATATTATAAACTATTTTTTAATTAAAAAATATTAAATTCAAAAATAATAAAAATTTTCGGTTAATTCAAAAAATAACTGAATTAACCGAAATTTATTCAGTTCGGTTAATACTTTCATAAAAAAGTTCGGTTCGATTAAGGTTAAATGAAAAAAAAATTGGTTAATTCAGTTAAGGGTATTTCGGTTCGGTTTTAACCGAATGAACACCCCTACATATAGGTATTAATGCGCAATGGCGATAAACCCGCCCAAAGTATTCCCAGAGTTGACCGAAATGTTAAGGTCGTGGAAAGGGTACAAACATCAGGATTCGTTTGATAGATGGTATCAATACGCTGAGTAGAAGGATTTTGGTATCGGTAGATCTATCTCAGCTGAGTGGCCTATAGGGTTGTGGATTCTCGTGAGAAAAGGAGAGTAACACCAATTCAGTCACACCAATCAAGTCAAAAGTCTAAAGTAGGGTTATGTAGGAGATCGCTAGCATCACCGCCTATGGAGACCACGAGGGGTTCTAACATAGCGTAAACATATCCAGAGTGTGAGCATTGTGATAAGAGGCATCAAGGGAGATGCTTTGGACTCTCTAGGACGTGTTTCTGATATGGGTCCTTTGAGCATCTTGTGAGAAACTGCCCTACCTCGGATAACGATGTTATAAATCGACCTCAGAGCCTAACGTGATGGAGGGTCTGAACATAAAGGTTTCAATGCTATGATCGAGAAAAAGAGCAGTGGAACAGATCGACTTGTTCCTAGATTAGTTGCATATATCCTAGCTTGTCAGGTCATCATGAGGTATATAGAGGATGTCGATGTCATAGTGGAGATATCAGTATGTTTTCAGCAATTTCAGTTGATAATGTTGCACTAGTAGACGTGAATTCGTTCATTCCTTCGTGGTGTTAAAGTGAACTAAGTAGGAAGAGTATTCACGTAGAAGATCCTGACGTTAGGGTCCAAGTGCCTTTTAGATTAATGTAGTCGTGTGAGAACCGTCAATTGTTTCTTGTGGAATTGAGAGTTAACTCTAAGGAGACATTTGATAGTAGATCTGTCCACCCGAGAGTGTTCCATGAGAGAGTATCGAAGTGGCTCTTCAAGGATATGATTGAGATTATAGGAGCGTGTGTTCGCATCGAGGTTGCATGGTTCATATGACCAGCTCGGTAGAGCTTGAGTAATCCTAAGTTTGGATTTTGAGGTGTATGTCCCTAAGAAAAACGTTGAGGATGTTGAGTTGCTTGCTTGTTGATCGTTAGTCGCGTGTAATGGGTTACTCAAATTTTCTAAGAGTAGAGGTGATGGTCATGTGCGACCATGAGATGTACGTTCCTGTAACGATAGCGATCCAGGTCTCATCTAAAGTACCTATGTTAGTAGACTAGTGGCGTATGAATCTTGCGATGCTGTGTGACCCGAGACTACATCATAACGTCTGTTTGTGTGTTTGGATAAGTGTTTGAACTTTACGACCCAAATTTTGTCTTTTAATATCTTTGTTTTACTATATGAGTGTGAGCTATATACAACACCTAATAATATGCTAGATTATGATGCTTGAGGTTAAAGGAGACTCGTTTGGCTAGCGTTAGCTGACATTAAATAGCACGTTCGTGGTTAGTACGGGTGTAAACGAGCCGAGTCGAGCTCGAGTATTGCTGAGCTCGACTCGACTTGAAAACTCTGAAATGGAGCTCGACTCGAAAACTCGCGAGCTTAAAATTTTCAAGCTTGACTCGAACTCAAAATCCTGAACTGAAGCTAGTGAGCAGCTCGAAAGGGCTCGAAATGAAAAAAAATCTTAAACTTAACTCGATTGAAGCTTCAAACTCGAACATGTACCTTAAATACATGAAAATCTTAATGTATTTTTTTATAAAAAAAATCAGTACATATGTATTAATATTATTAATATTTTTTTTTAAAAAATCTTAATATATTATATTTTCGAGCTGCTCACGAGCTTTTCGAGTTGAATATCAAGTAACTCATTTCGGCTCGTTAAGAACTTGAGTCGAGCTCGAGATCGAGTCGAGTCCATTCAATCCAAGTATTTATTGAACCTTGATCGAGTCGATCTCGAATAGCTCGCGATCTCTCTCATCTCATTTACAGCCCTAGTGGTTAGCGATCAAGGGACAAGGAGAATCTTGGATCCAGTAATGTTCCCTTTTGAAAAGTTAAGACAACTTTTTAAAATTTAAATATCTTTTATTAATAGTAGTGTATTAATATTATTTAAAATCATAATATATTTATATTTTTATTATTTTATTATCTTCTTTTTTCTATTTTGTTGCTCTTGAGCTGAATGCATTTGTACCCGACTTGTATTTCTTCCTCGGGCTAGCATAATTGTAATATAGACATTAATAATAATAATAATAATAATAATTAATTATAAAACCCCATTTCAGTATTCTTTCTGATCCATGGGTATAGCCAAACTGGTCATGAAAATAAATAATGAAAGTTTTCCCATCTTGGAGATCATCACTCTATTTCTTATGTTTCTTCTTTTGTCGTTTTTCTGTTTTGGTCTCCGTTCTTGCTTCTAAACGCTTCAACTGCTGGGAACGTATCTCTACCAACTTCAACTTTGCATCTCGGAATAGAGCGTCCGATCTTGAAGCCATCAATTGCTGAAATCAAATAACATGCAACAGTTGGGGATAAAATTAAGTTTCTGCTATTGTATTAGAAATTGAATTGAAAATATTGGAAAAGCCAATTTACAAACCTTTAGATGATCCATTGCTGCGAGGTTGAAACCAAGAGTATCATGGCATTCCTGAGAAATTCAAAGTTTATGCCATTGAAATAGATCCTTAAGTTTTCCCAAATCAAAAATTTATGGATTATGTGACCATTTTGAACTTAAATTCAACAGTAGAAATGAAAGAGAGATCATTAAGGCTACTAGTTGCAGAACTGAATGTTTTTGCTCCAAGTGAATGTGCGGGTTTTAAACAATCATAATCCGAAGTACAAATTTACCTTAACTCTTGCATAAATAATCTCTTTCAGAACAGACAACACTGGTCTGGCAGATGGGGTACTAATTAACAGACTATGGTGTGTCTGCAACAAAATCGTAACAATCCTGCAAACCAGTTCAACCTGCACAAACAGCAAAATTGTAATAACAAGTATTACAAGTCTAGCGCTCAGACGCATAAGACGTATGCTTTCCTAACATCAAACGCGTCAAAGAGAGAGCATTTACCAAAACATCCAACCATAAGCACATTTATAAGAGCATAGAGGCCAACTTTGCCATGATTTGAAGTCCAGTCCTTCGTATAAGAGAGCAGCTTGAGGGCATCTGAGAATGGTAATGCCTAGCCATAAAACAACTTCGACTCAGATATTGAGATAAATAATAAGATGCGGGAAAGATGAGAAGATCCTATCTGTACTGTACAGCATGGACAAGTTCAATTTAACTACTAGACATAGATAGTTCAGCCTCCATATATGAATTTAACTTGGCTATTAACATGGATGAAATATGAAAAGAAACTCTCTTTAAAGTGACTAGAATTTCAGTTGATGAGGGTCTTTGGTCCCATTATTAGGCAAATATTAACTAAGCAGTAGAAGACCATGGACTACGATATGAAAAAAACAGTCACAATCAGGTGGATCACAAAAAGATAAATGACAAAAACTGCTTATCCAGATGTTTCAATTATGAGCTTAATCCTCATAGGCCTGATTGCAGGTGTGTAACTGTCTCCATGCATGCACTTGAAAACATGGATGAAATAACATATCATCTTTTCCAGAATGTTGGACTAGAACTAGAGCAGATCCCATGCATAATGCTCAATTAACAGTAAAGTCTGCTCCAGATCATTGGTGCTAATATTTGAGAGAGCACGAAGGACATAACCCGATGGGGATAACCCAAGCATAATCAGATTCGGTTGGAATTCAGCAACTTTTCCTCTGGCCTGCTCCTCCTGAAATATAACATAGTGAACAAATTAACTGCAACACAACCATTGAAAAATTTAGGCTCTTTCAGTTTTCTTCTAGCATTTTCTGCTGCTGTACAAATTTTCCAAATTATTCCAACAAGCATTTCTGAGCAAAATGAAAATCATCTCTGCAAGACAGATTTATCATCTTGGCAGTTGTATCTTTCTACAAGTAAATAAAGTAACCGTTGTGCTGACACTCAATATAGTGGATAGGGAAAGTAACGAGCAACCACACCACCCCAAATATAGTTAACAGCTTTCTTTTCCTTTTCCCCTTCTTCCTTAGGGGAAGAAAAAATTATTTAAAAGTGTCAACCATTGATGATCAAAATACAACTTTGTCGTCAATGGAAAGGTTAAGGCCCTAGAAACCTTAATGTTTCAGGTACGAGTCCCAGCATGCGTAAATACCATGTGTGGGGTCTCAGTCCAGAACATATCCTAGTCTGGATATTTATGGTTATTCCAGTTTTTCCCCAAATTTAAACAAGCCAGTTAAAGACAATAACACGTCAGTATAGAAGAAACGGACCAAAGCAAGATAAGAATACCTCATGTTCAGCTATTCGTTTAAACTCCACTTCTGCCACTTCTAGTGCATCAATAATTGAATCAGTGGCTGTCAGGGTTTCCAGAGTTCTCTTCCCTGCTAATGCAACAGCTCCCTCTTCTGGAAGTTCTTCCTTCGGTGCATTTCTGTCTTCAAATGTATCGTCCATGTAAGCCTCGAAGATTTCGTCCAATCTTTTCTCTTTTTCTTCCTGCACACTCAAGAAGGGTTAAATACAAAAAGAAGAAAATCCATCTCTAAAAGTAATCACAAATGCAGTGAGAAGAACTAGCTTAACAATGGCATTCTCATTCCTGAGCCAAGAAATTCACTTCTGGTACACAGCAAAAATTCGAAAATACCTCAATAAAAAATGGCTCTTCAGTACGATCCCAACGGCGAATAGACCGGTCATGAGATCCTGTAACAACAAAGTCACCACGGTTGCTGACTGCAAGGCACCAAACAGCAGCATGATGTCCCTCAAGCGTTAAAAGCAACTCAAACTTATCAGCATCCCAGTACTTCAAAAGACGATCTTTCCCAGCACTGAACATGTAATGTGTGTTGTGGACAAATTGAACATCCATAACACTGAAAAATTACCTCGTCAGAATTAATGATCAAAAGGTTCACCAAAACTACATAAACAATTTAGGATCAAGAGAACTTTTGCATTCCATAATAATTAAAATCATACAAAACCTGTCAGCATGTGCAAAGATGGATTTGTGGCAATCGCCAAAATCCAAGCCCCAAATCCTCAAATTCTTATCTGCAGACCCAGTTACAATTAAATCTCCATCTGATGAAATATCCATACATAGGACAGGAAGTTTGTGGCCGTATAAGGAAAAGAAAATTTTGAATGAATCCATAAAAAGGGAACTGAAAATCATTATTATCATTATAGCCCCCATAGTAGTGCAAAACAAGTTGACTCGCACATCCTGATTGACAATACAATATCCTACATGCTATTATGAAGTCAAATTGGGGAGTTATTTAGTTGATTAAACTTTATTTTTTCCATCGGAAGCTTATACCAGAACATGTTTAGACAGAAAGAATCTGAAAACAAACATTTTTGAAATCAACAGATTTAATTAGCACATATAAACCAATCTTTGCAAGACATGATTAGTGCAGTGGCATACAGATAGATGCAAGGTCACATCTAATTCTCACATTTAAATCATGAGCTTTAGAAGGTTTTATACAGAGGGCTGAAGCCATAGACAAAAACTGAGATTGTATCCCCCTCAGACCGATGCGGTCACTCGATCACATTAGGGTCACCGGAGCGACCCACTGTAAAAATAGCGGAAAATTTAAAAATTTTATTAAAACATGTCACTTATAAAATAATTTATCAGTATACAAAAGTAAAACAAATTTTCAGAATCAAATATTATAACAAAATACAATTACATGTCCCTCTAATCACATGTACCATACTCTGCAAGCAACGCCGGAAGAACTCCCTTACTGATTTTGATAGCTGTACTAGTACTATCTTTTAACCTGAAATGGTGAGTAATAGAGTGAGCTTCGAAAAGCTCAGTAATACAAAACTACCAGATGATGCTGAAGAACGTGCAGATACAAATAAACATATATTTCCTTATTGGTTCAGATATCTACAGATTTCTTTGGCTGAGCTCCCATTGATATTTCAGGTAGTAACAGATAATATTCAGTTCATATGGAAATATTTCGGATGTCTAGGTTCAGGAGATAGGAATAGGTTATCTAGTGTGTTCCCAAAAATCATGTAACTTTTCAGATCTTTTTAAAACATATATATATATACCCCCATCCGTCAAGTCCAAAATGTGTAGGTTCCCCAGAACCATACACCCACCGTCAAGTCCAGTAGGCCCTGAGCACACAGACGAGGAGCCGGTAAGTAAGGCCCTGAGCACACAGCCGAGGAGCCTTTAGGTATACATCCTCTAACATTACCCCCAAGTAAAATATGTCTGTCCGTAAACGGATATATCAAAAATCAAAACATAAATCAGGTCAAGTATCATATCAGAATCCAAGTCAAGTATCATATCAGAATCCAAGTCAAGTATCAGATCAAAATCCATGTCAGATATCAGATCAGAAACCACGTCAAGTATCAGATCATAATTCAAATTGAAAATCAGATAAAATATTCATATGAGTAGGGAACACACCAGAGTTTATGGATATTATTTAGAGGGACCGGATAATCTTATAAGGGAGAGAAACACGGATCTTCAGTATGCCGATAGAACGTTGGAATTTCAAATCACCATGGGAAGAGTTCATTAACTGACGAAATCATCAGTTATTCAGAATGTGATTTATCATGATCATATCTTATTTAGACATTTTTCAGAAGCTTAACGAATCATAAGGGTATTCCGAATCCTTTACAATCTTTGTCGATTTATTAGATTATCGAACAACTCCAGATGAATAACTCCCAGAACTAATGCTTATCGACTGGTCAATTCATTGTCCTTACAGGGTATTTACACTTGAATACCATAAATTCTAGTCCATATATAATCTTCGGAATCATCTCTGAATAAATCTTTCAATGTCTTTATTCCATGTTCACGGTTCCACTTTATCATGAAATACTGACGTGCTTGATTTGTAGTTTATCTTCCATAAGGACAATACATCTTATAAACTCATAAGAATTTCCAGACTTATCCAATTCACTTACTTAATCCTCAGTCATTGAGGTTACTTAGCTTATTTATCAGTCAAGTCCATTTCAATTACTTTGGGTTTTTTCAGAGTATTTCAGACGTTTCTGAATTTTGGATACATATTTTACTTCCGTTCAGTTCAATTCGGTATTCGTGGTTGATTTGTCGAACAAATATCCAATTCTTAGTGCTTAATGCAATCTAGAGTTGAGCTGAGCTGAATACTTCCAAATTATCATCGAGCCAAACTTAAGTAGACCAACACGCATTCAAGTAATATTTATGCCATTGAGGTACTGACATATCATTAAGGTTGATTGGCTCACTTAAGTTGTGTTCCATAACTTTTAAAGGTAGTCCCACACTTATGCTTATTTGGATTCCTTAATTAATCCAAGACATTTACTTAGTATAGGCTATAATGGTATTTTGGTAATTTTGGTGTTCAGTTTTATTCCATTCATTTCAGAGCTCAAGGATATCCAATCATTTCTGAGCTTGGTGGTATTCTTGGGTTATTTCTATTACAGGGGTATTCTGGTCATTCTACAGATCCGATGTATTTCAATCATTTCCTTCAATCCTATCTTATTATTTAATTCCAATTTATAATCTATTTCAGTCCATTCGAACAATTCTGATAAAAGAGCACTCTCCGATAAATTGTTCTTCAGGTATTTACTCATAACTCGAATATTTTCAGGTCAAGTGCCTTCTCAGATTTTTACCAACGGAATATCAAGAATTTTTCTGCACTAAGTCAGAATTTTAACAATCAATTTCGTACTTAATCAAGTTAAGTACAAATATTCAAAGTACTTTCTCATTCAGGGTTAACTCGGACTATTTTACCTCTCAAGGGCATTTCCGTAATTTCTTAACCAGATAATTTCGATATTAACTCTTAACGAAAATAATATAATTTAGAGATCCTATGATTAATTGTTTTCTTGAACATTCTCTGATCTTGAAATGATTCCCTTAACAGACTTCTAGTATCCTTCACAAACCCTCATAGGATTAAAAACCGGTTATCCATAATTTCCAAGTAAAACTAACATTTCTTATGCACATCAATATTTTTATCAGATCAATATGTCTGTAAAAACCTCTTATTCAACTTCCATATTCAAATATTGTCTTTTTATAACATAAGGGTATTTTCGTAATTTTACCCTACCAGAGTATTCTCATAATTTCTCATCCAAGTAACTTTAACATTTAACCTTTGATGAAATAAATTATAAGTTACAGATCCAGGTTGATTTCTTTATCACTAAGCACATAACTTGTAATTTAATTCTATCAATCCCTCAATTTCTTATAAAAGTCATCTGAACCATAATCAATTACTGAATCTTTTTACCGTATTCAGATCGAGTGTAGAAATTAATCAACTCTACAAAAGTGACCAACATTATCTTATTCATGCATTTACTAATATCAACATATTCCATAAAGCATAAAGAGGTAGTAAAGTATTACCTCGATTTCTGTGTCATACTGATCGACCATTAAATTCCATTCGAATGCCCATGATCTTGAAATCACCTTTCAATATTTCCTCGAATCCATATCAATAGAAATTACATAAAAACGGAGCTTAATTCTGAAAAACGGATCGAATCGGATGATAAATCAGTGAAAATAGCTTACCGGGTTCGAATTTGGCGAAACGGACTTCGGATTCGAATTCAGGACGTCGAAAACATAAAATATGACTTTTCGAAATTTTGGAATTTTCGGTCAAAATCAAAGTCAACGGGTTTGAGTGGAAATTTCGAGGTCTTCGGGTCCGAATTTCGAAAAACGGATTGCGGAATCGGATTTGGAACGTTGAAAAACGTCAGGATAGGCATACTCGATCAAAGTCAAAGGTCGTTTAATGCCCGGTCAAAGCCAGTCAAAGTTCTGGTCAACTGTGGTCAACGACGGTCAACGGTCAACAGTCAACCATTTTACACAAATATCATCCTAACAGAAATTAATTACCAAATTAGCCACATTCTGCAAATATTTACCAATCTAACACCCGAGTTTTACACAAATAGCACCCAAACATAAATTAATTCCTAAAAATGATTTTAAGCGATTTTGAGGCACTTACAAAGCTCGGTTCACAATTTTGAACGATGGAGAGCTCGATTCCGAAACGTCGGAAAATTTGACGGTCTTACCTCTCCACGAGCCGGCGACGACGGAGAAACGGAGAACACCGGTGAACTCGGAACGATGCAAGGAACACGATGATACGGGAGGTGTCGTAAACGGATGACCGGATCGTCGTGAGTCGACGAAAAACCAACTGAAATCGAGTTATTACCGACGATACTTCCGACTAAAATTAACGACGAACGGCGACGATTCACGATGAAAGGCTTGAGGGGTTTTGTTCCTCGGTCGACAACGAACACGATGGTGGTTTCGGTTCGTCGATCGGAGGTCAGATGGCGAGTAGATCGGAGTTGAAAGGAGGGTTGTTGAAGAAGATAAAACTGGAAAAAATATGCAGCCTGCGCACGGGGAAGAGATTTATAATTCAACATATAAAAAAAATGGTTAAATCATGGGTTTAGGCATTGAATTTCATGTACTTCTTAAAACGGTCTGCCAACTTTGAAATTTTACAATTTAATCCTCAATTTCCTTCCAAAATTCTAATTAAATTCACCATTTTATAATTTCTTAAATTTAGCCCTTAAATTGGGGTGTTACAATTCTCCCCTCCTTAAAAGAATTTCGTCCTCGAAATTCATTTTTGTCACATTATTACAGAAATGAAACTTCCATCAGTTCTTTCATATCTTCAAGTAGCTTTTACAAAGGTATGTGTCCTCTACTAATCCTTAACCAACTGAGTAAACATTCTCATCATAATTCACCCTCAGTCCAAGTAAATAATCAAAACAACTTTATCATTGTGAAATCAATTCAGCCTTGGTTACGTGAACAAGCTCATAGAGCAGCAGCATATCCCAATTTCATTTCTGGAGTCAAGTCAAAATTTCTCTAATAATTAACTCTCACATGGCTCGTGAGGTACTTTACAGCGTTTAGACAGATGTTACTGGTATTCCTTTTTGTACAAGTATAGCCTTAACGGATAGAAACTTCGGTTTACTCGTTACAGATAGGGACTCAACCCTGGAGTTCCGG